ATGAGTCAGTTCAAATCTGACTACCCGTAAATTTAATACTATAATATTATATTATATCTTTTAAACTAAATTAACTATGTTTTGATCTATACATGAATATTATTTTTCAGGTTATACTGTAGAATTCTTAGATATATTAAGTGTTATAGCAGTATTATTTGGTATTACAGTAATTGTAAATAAAAATCCTATTGGTTCTTTATTATTTTTAATAGGATTATTTGCTTCGATTTCAGTATATTTAATTTTATCTGGTTTAACATTTATTGGTTTTTCTTATTTAATAGTATATATAGGAGCAGTATCTATTTTATTCTTATTTATATTAATGCTTATTAATATTAGAACAAGTGAATTACAAAGTAATAATGTTAATAGTATTCCCTTAGCTTTATTTATAGGAATATTATGAAATTACAGTTTATTCCAGTTATTACCTTATACTTTATCAATAAATACTAACAATTGATTATCTGGATCTTATAATTATAACAATATATTACCGGCAGTTAATAATATAGATACAAGTAATATAATGTTTGTGACAAGTAATAATTGAGATGGAACTATGACAGAAACAAGTCATATTTCAACAATAGGAAATATATTATATACATCTTATAATATGTGATTATTTTTATCAAGTATAATATTATTATTAGCAATGGTAGGTGCTATAATAATAACAATAAAACAAGAAAATAATTAATAGTTTCATTATATTATCAGTAGGCTGCTTTTATAGTATATTATAAGCTCCACTTATATAGATAATAGAGGAATTAGTTCAATGGTAGAGCGTTTGTTTTACACACAAAAAGTTGTAGGTTCGAGTCCTGCATTCCTTAACATAAAGATTCCTTAGCTTAATCGGTAAAGCATATTATTGATAATAATAAGTTCTGCGTTCAATTCGCGGAGGAATTATGTAGTAGGCTTTATTAATAAAAAATATGCTTATATAAGAAGAGAATTGGCCGAGTGGTTTAAGGCGATAAGTTTGAGTTTTATTAGGTGATAAACCTGCATCCGTTCGAATCGGATATTCTCTGAAAGAGTATAGTTTAATTGGCAAAATACGAAGCTTCAACCTTCAGGTTCTTGGTTCAAATCCAAGTACTCTTGCATAGGCTCCGTTAGTAAACGAGGCAATTTCGGATTAGGGCCGGTCGGTCAGGCACTTCGTTTGGGACGGAGATCAGTTATGTTCGATTCATAATAATCCGAATATTAGAACATTTAGAAATCAAAAAATATAATAAAAATAAGATATATAAATTATACTTATTGATTTGTTAAGAGGCTACTGTTGCAAAGCACGTACGCCTAAAACAATCAATGTAAGTATGTAAAGGAATTATTATGCAATTCTAGCTATGTATTAAGGAGAGCAAATTTGATATAAAAAGGAATATAATATATTTCTAGTTAATAAGCTCTAGAAGAAATTTAATAATAAACGAAGTGAAGTGAAATATCTCAGTAACTTCAGGAAAAGAAATCAAAAGAGATTCTATGAATAGCGTGAGCAAAAGTAGATAAGTCTATTAAGTAAAATGGTTTATAAACTGTTTGAATGGGGAACCTTCCTCAAAGACTAAATATGATACATAAGCGATAGATGATGGGCCGTGAGGTAATTGGAAGTTAGTAGTAATTTTATAAGCAGTTCGAATAGACTTAATTTAAGTTAAAGAACGTACCTTTTGCATAATGGGTCACCAAGTTAACATTAGATGCGAGAAAATTTCGTAGTTAAACCAAACGTTAAAATAACGATAAGTGTCTAAAGTTAGACCCGAAGCCTAGTGATTTTACTATGATCAGGATTATAAAAGTCCGAACGGGTGATTGTGGCAAAAATCTCCGAAGAATCGTGGTAGGTATAGTGAAAGACAATACTGACTAGGATAGCTGGTAAAGAATAAGAATGTAAGCAATTTTTAATGGCCAGTATGTAGAAATGAACTTTCTGCAATAAATCATCAAATTGACGGGAAAACCCTAAAGCAATCTAAACCAAGCAGTTTTAGTAATAAAATTGTGGCACAGGTAATGACTCGTGGTATGGTAAAATATAGATTGATGTACGAAAGTTAAATGGGTAATCCGCAGCCAAGCACCGACTGCTTAAGATAAGTAAAGGTGTGCAGTTCATCGACTAAATGTTGGTTGGCGCAAGCTTAAGATATAGTCAAACCTTACTCGAAAGAGTACAGAATAATAATACTAATTAACTTATAGATTTAGAGGAAGAAAAAAACAAAAATTTAAATGAATTTAAAAAATAAGAATTTAAAGATAGAAATGTGATATAAAAATTGTAATTTGGAAAAAGTACAATTATTAACTAATAATAAAAATAAATCAGGAATTTACTGTTGAATTAATAATATAAATAATAAGATATATATAGGTAGTTCTATTAATCTTACAAATAGACTTTATAAGTATTATAATGTTAATTTATTATCTACACGTAGAACATCCATACATAATGCTTTATTAAAATATGGATATGATAATTTTTCATTTGTTATATTAGAATATATAACAGATAAAAAAGAACTTATTAATAAAGAACAATATTATATTAATTTATTAGAACCTGAGTATAACATATTAAAAAAAGCAGGTTCTTCTTTAGGATTTAAACATAATAAAGAAACTTTATATTTCTTTAAAAATACACGTAAGTTAAGTGAAGAAGCAAAAGAAAATTTATCTTTAGCTAGTACAGGAAGAATTTTATCAGAAGAAACTAGATTGAAAATATCTAGTAAAAGAAAAGGTATAAAACTTTCAAATGAAACTAAAGCAAAATTATCTAAATCTGCAACTAATCTTAGAGGTATCAAAATAAAAGTAGTTAATATTTTAACTAGTGAAGAACTATATTTTGATAGTTTAACAGATGCAGGTTTACATTTAAATGTAAGCAGAACTGCAGTAGCGAAAGCTTTAAAAAACAATAGTATAATTAAGAAAAATTATATTATTATTCAAAATTAGTATTATTATTTGATAAATGGATAATTAATAATCGTAGGTATATTAATTATTTAGGGAGAAGGACTTCAGCTTTACCTAAGGGTAGAAGAAGTAGATTTGTTTCTGCGAAACCTATAACAGTAGGCAATTTAAGTAAATATCTTAGCAGGTACAGAATTTAATCTCAGGCAATATAATGTTGCGCAAATTGGGGAATCGTGAAGATTTTATCAGTGAGTATGTAGACTCGGAATGGCAAAGATATATCTTGAATAATCAGACATAGAATGATAAGGTTGAATACAGCCTTTTTGTAGAAGCGAACCTTCTGCAATAAACCATCAAATTGCGGGAAACCCCTAAAGCAATCATAACCAAGTAAGAATAGTAATATATCTTATGGCTCAGGCAATGACTCGAGGTAAGGTAAAATCATGATTGATGTACGAAAGTTAAATGGGCAATCCGCAGCCAAGCACCGACTGCTTAAGATAAGTAAAGGTGTGCAGTTCATCGACTAAATGTTGGTTGGCGCAAGCTTAAGATATAGTCAGGCCTCATTCGAAAGAATGCAATGGCAATGAATTAATTATTTTGTGAAATATATTTTCTAAGTAAATGAAAAATTATAACTTATGACTATTTGAATTAAATATAAATTAACAATGAGAAAAATAATACCTATAAAAATATATAATAATGCATTTATAAATAAAAATAAGATATTTTTAGATAATAAAAACCAATCTGGTATTTATAAATGAATAAACAATATAAACGGTAATACTTATGTAGGTAGTGGTTTAAACTTAACAAAGAGAGTAGGGGATTACTTTAAGGAAAGTGAATTAAAAAGAAATCTTAGACCTATTCATGCAGCTTTGTTAAAATATGGTCATGATAACTTTACGTTGGAAATACTAGAGTATTGTAAACCAGATGAACTTATTAAAAAAGAACAATATTATTTGGACTTAATAAAGCCTGAATATAATATATTAAAAAATGCTTATTCTTTATTAGGCTTTAAACATAGTGATGAAACTATTGCTAGATTAAAATTAAAGTCTATTTCGGAAGAACATAAAAAGATATTATCATCAGCACATCTAGGTAAAGAAGTTAGTCAAGAAGTTAGAGATAAATTATCTTTAGCTATGACTAATTATAAAAAAAATAACCCTTTATCTACTGAAGCTTTAGCTAATATTAAAGCTAAAACTACAGAACGTGAAGGTAAACCAGTTAGACTTTTAAATATTAAAACTAATGAAACATTAGATTTTTCTACTTTAACTGAAGCTGGAGAATATTTAGGTATTAAAAGACAAGCTGTAAGAAATGCAATTAACAGAAGAAGTATTGTTAAAAACCAATACCGTGTTTCAGAGCTATAATTATTTTTAGTTTTATAGTAGGGCTGCTTTACAGGTACGCCCTAAAATTATAAACTAGGGTTTATTTATAAACCTTATTGCCCAAATGGATAATTTATTTATAAATTATTTAGGGATAACATTTTGTTTAACAAAATTCCGTGTATGTCAAAAGGGAAACAGCCCAAAACAAGAGTTAAGGTTCCTAAATTATTTGTTGAGTGAAAATAAGAAGGTTTTTATTAAAGTCGACAAGGAGATAGGCTTAGAAGCAGCCATAATTTTATGACCTCGTAACAGAGCGCTTGTTAAGTTATAAAAGCATCGAAAATATAACGGATCTAAACAATATACCGAAACCTTGTCCATAAATTAATGTAGTTTGTTATTATACTATAAAGCGGCAAATTTATGGGGTAGCAGAACGTTGAATTAGACTAAATAACAAGTTTATAAATTTGTTATGTTAATTCAAGTGAGAATGGTGACATGAGTAACGAAAAGAATAGTAGATTTTGGTAATAAGCGCTTATTGCGAACAATACATTAAATAATAGATCTTATTTAATGCTTACAAGATCTGCTATCCGCCTAAAGCTTATGGTTAGAATTAAGTAACGGCCTCTAAGCTTTTTATCTAAAGATTGAAGCGATGAGAAAATCTTTTATTATAAGACGACATTTATCTAGTGAAAAATGTACAGGAAATATTATAATATTGTAACCGTACCTAGAAACCGACTATGGTAAGCTAGTAGAGTATACGAAGGCGTAATTGAGATAACAATCATAAAGGAACTCGGCAAATTGACTATCGTAACTTCGGGATAAGTAGGGCTCATTATTCTTGATTAATATCAGGTAAAGAGGAAGAAACATAAAATAATGTTGTACGACTGTTTAATTAAAACACAGCACTTTGCTTAAAGATTAAAAATCTATGTATAAAGTGTGATATCTGCCCGGTGCCGGCTGGCTAACAGAGATAATTGAATATATTACTATTTGATGTCGACGGAAGCCCCGGTTAAAGGCGGCCTTAACGTGAGGGTCCTAAGGTAGCGAAATGCCTTGGCCGTTAAATGCGGTCTTGCATGAATGGTGTAACGATACAACAGCTGTCTCTATGATTGACTCAGTGAAATTGGAATAGCTGTGCAGATACAGCTTACCTCTAGTTAGACGAGAAGACCCTATGCAGCTTTACTGTCACTAATAATAGATTTTGATGAAAAATTTTCAGACTAAAAGGGAATTGATTAAATATTCATGAGAAACCTTTATTTTTATTCTTCATTTGAATGAATTGATATACCAATAGGTATATCATCCTAGTTCAGCCTAGATTCTTATGCGCAAGCTATTATTAAGAAACAGGTACCCTTGGAGAGGAACTATTACTAGGGGACAGTTTATGTGGGGCACAGACCCTGTAAAGAGTAAACAGGTGTGTCTAATAATTATTTTTATTTTGTTTGCTATTTTTATATAAATCGTATTGACTTTGATATAATTGTATTATATGCTTAGTAAGCTATATAATTATATTTATATTGAAAATTTAGGTAAGATTTTGACTATACTGAAATTAGAGATAATTTAAATTTTTATGTGATATGTTTATTATTACTAAATTTTTATAGTTACTTAAAACACTGTAGGTTTTAC